CAGCATGGGGCAGTGGGGCCTAGCCCTGGCCACCTGGCGTCTGCACTGTCATTGTCCCATTGTGTGGGTGCAGCCAGGATCAGGTGAGGCAGCCATCAGGGGGCTCAGGGGACAAGCAGGGGATGGGGCCATGTGGGGCAGCGATCAGGAGAGCTGGGGGGCAGGTGGGGGATGGGGTCAGGCAGAGTTGGGATTAGGGGGGCTCAGGGGGCAGGTTGGGGATGGAGCTGAATGGGGCAGCCATTGGCTGACTACCAGAGCATCTCTGTGCAGGGTCCAGCCTCCAGTTGCCTCAGGGCATGGTTCGTGGCCATGCTCTGCCCCACTTTTTTCCCCCATGCATTTTTTTGACCCCTAGATATCCAGGGGTCTCATTTTTCCCCCGCACTGCAAATTTGCAGTTTGGGGAACATTTTTTCGCTCCCACACATGCCTCTTGCAACATCTCAAAGGGCTTTGAGATGCTGCAAGACACACGTGCACACTCATCTGGATGCGCCCAAGGTGTGACTGCTCCAAACTTGAGGTAGCACTAACACTGATCAACATTTGACCAGCTCAAAGTGTAGTGTGCAACAAGGCTGTCATAGTCATTTCATGTTCTCTGTTATTGTTCACAGCATAAAATCTGGCAATCCAAACAGGGTTTGTAGTAGAGCTGTTATTTTGTTTACGTGGCAGATTTAATTTGAAATGATCAGTACTGACCCTGCGTAGACTGTCTCAATGTCTTCTCCCTCATAACAAAGTGAGGGAGAAGCCATGTGTATAGGTATACAAGGCTCAAATAACCTGCTAGGATGGAGGGGCTGTGGCCACTTCTCAAGCCCACTGGTATGCTGATGTGAGAGACAGATTTCACCTCATTTTACCTACCTAATTCTTACATACTCCATCATTGTGCATGTGGAGTAGCTATTAAACAGAAGTTAGGGGTGAATCATCTGACACCCCTAAAAAATTGGCAGTGAGTTCCAAGCAGGGTATGATAGGGGCTAGAATATTGTGGATATACCTTTTCATATGCTTTCCCTCTAAAGCTTGTATCACTGACACTGTTGGATGGGGGTAGGGACCTACTCATCTTGCAGTTGTGTAGATTTAGTGGAAATTGCAGAATTGGGCGATCTCTGCAAAATCTGTAGAAAAAAGAAAATGTACTAAAAATAAAATGCTAGCTCCCCAGTGGGAGCCAGCAGCACTTCCAGGCACAGAGCCCACCCCCGGAGAAGGGGAGAGGGAGGCTGGTGGCACAAAGGTGAGCAGGAAAGATGGCTGCTGCCCATACCTCTCATGTTGATTAGCTGAGAGGACTGCCTATTGTGCAGCCATGCCCCCCTCCACCAATCATTAATGAAGGGAGGGGTCTTGTGACAGACAGCCCTCTGGTTTGGTTTTTTTTGTTTGCTTTTTTTATCCCTGGATATCCAAGGGTAAAAAAAAAACCCAAATAAATAAAAAACACAGGAAAGCAGTGCATGCTCAGGCAGTGTGCCCTTGCCACACAGAGAACTCTGGACTGTGTGGGATGTGGCACTGCAAACATGTTTGCAGTGCCACATACCACACAACCATGCTCATCTGGACATGCCCTACATGTGTTAATAAAAGCATGATGTTTTCCATGATAGATGTTGTAAAAACTTCAAGCATGAGATTTTTATTCTGTAGCAAGAGACCAAGCAGCCTTAGTCTGGATCACAGTATACAAGTAAGAGGTCTAGTCAGCTG